CGTAATATTAGGTAATAACTTTTGCAATATTGCAAAATATATAATTACAAAATATTACATAAGATAATTACGCAATATTACGCAAGAAATAATGCAATTTTACACAAAATAATTCGAAATAATTCGAAACAGATTAAAAAAAATTAATGTGAACTATAAGCATAAAATAATTCAAAATAATTTAAATTATATGAAAAATGTTAAAAATAATTGAAATTAAAGAGCTAAAATTTTTAAACGACAAAATTCAAAAATGAAACAGATTCAAATAAATTACTATGAACTATTAATGCAAAATAATTCAAAATAATTTGAATTGTATTAATGATGTTTGAATAAATTAAAAATATTTAAAGTTAAAAAGCTAAAATTTTTAAACATGATATTGAAGAATGAAACAGATTTAGATAAATTACTATAAACTATAAGCACAAAATAATTCGAATTATACTAAAAATGTTTGAAAAAATTAAAAATATTTGAAATTAAAGAGCTAAAATTTTCAAACGACAAAATTCAAAAATAAAACAGATAGAGATAAATTACTATGCACTATATGAGCTAAATAATTCAAAATAATTCGAATTGTATTAAAAATATTTGAAATAATTAAAAATAATTGAAATTAAAGAGCTAAAATTTTTAAACAACAAAATTTAAGAATTAAATTAAACTATTACTGAATTTTATTTATAAATAAAATATATGATTTGATTTAAAATAGATGATCTATATCGAAATAATTCGAAATAATTTTGTAAAGTGGTATTTAAATTAATAAACGAAATCTATTTGAAAATGGATAAGCGAATAGGATTATTTAAAAAATAAAAATAATTCCCATAATACTAATAAATAAAAATGGTAGTACTAAATCGCACCACTGGTGCTCAACACCAGTAATGCTGTATAATGTGAAGACCAATTAAAAAAGTAAACAAAAAAATAAACAAAAATTAAATTTAATAAATGTTAAGCTAGAGTTAATAGTTAGGGGTTAGGGTGAGGTATAGTATATAGTAAAATTTTACAAGGAGTTTTTTTTTTAATAAAAAAAAGTGGTTTCATAAATAAAATTTTGAGTTAAAAGGTATTTTTTAAAAAAAATAACAAACTAACAAAAATTTATATTACACCTAATCTTTACATTACACTGCATTTAAAAAATTTGATTGGTGAAAATTATTGTGGTGTTGAGCACTAGTGGTGTGATTTAGTAATACCATTAAATAATTATATAAATAAAGGAAAATTAAAATTAAAAAATTTAAATGATAATGATATTAGATAATAAAATAAAATACTTACCTACTATTTATTATTTTAAATAATTATGTGAATAAAGGAAATTTAAATTAAAAAATTGAAATAATAATGATATTAGATATAAAATAAATACTTATGCACTATTTATTATTTTAGATAATTATGTTAGTAAATGAAAGATTAAATTAAAAATTTCAAATTATAATGATATTGGGTGATAGAAAAATACTTACACATTATATATGATTTTAAATAATCATGTGAATAAAGAAAAAAAATTCAAAAAATTCAAATAATAATGATATTAGATAATAGAATAAAATACTTACTCCCTGTTTATAATTATATTGGTAACGAAAGATTAATTAAAAATTTCATATGAAAATGATATTAAATAATAGAAAAAAAAATACTTACACACTATTTATGATTAAATAGTTATATAAATAAGCAAAAGATTAAATTGAAAAAATAATATTGGATAACATAAAAAAAAATACTTACGAACTATTATTATTTTAGAAAATTATATTGACAAGTATTATTTCAGATAATTATATGAATAAATAAAAGATCAAATTAAAAAAATTCAAATGATAATGATATTAGATAATAGATAAAAGACCTACTCCCTATTCATGATTTTAGATAAATAAATGTGATGAATAACAAATAAATTAAATTTTTGAAAAAGAAATTTAGATATAATATTGAAACAGAATGCAATACTTACTCTAATATTTTAAATAGTGATTTATTTTTTAAAAATAAATATATAGAAAAACTAGTGATAAATTACATTTCACTAAATCATGATCGTAATGTTTTACTAAATTATGATCGTGGGTTCCCTTATACTAACAGGAGGATCCCCAAAATTCCGGGTCAAAATACATCGGGGGATGATCGACTATGAAAATCCTTTTAAAATTTAGAGGTTTTTTAAAACTTTATGCCAACATTTCTCGATGAATACTTAACTTATTTCAGTGAATTTTTTTATTTTGATTCTATATGTTAATAGAATTAAAATAAAAAAAATCGTATCGAATCTAGTTAGATGGTTGTTGAGAAAACCTTGCTTGAAGTTTGAAAAAAAGGTTAAAAATCTTTGAAAAAATCAAGAAGGCGTAGTAAAATTTCCTTTTTTTCAACTTTAAGCGAACATTTCTCAACGATTATCTAACCAAATTCAATAAAATTTTTTTTATTTTAATTCTATGCGTTTGTAGAATTAAAATAAGAAAATTTATTAAACTTGGTTATGTAGTTGCTGAGAAATATTTATTTATTGTTTAAAAAAAATTTGTCGCAGCTTCTTTTTTATCGTTACTAAAACTTTAAGCAAAGTTTTCATGATGAATATCAAACTAAATTCGATGAAAATTTTTTTATTTTAATTATATAGATTGCAAAATTAAAATAAAAAAATTTCATAGAATTTGGTTAGATATTCATCGAAAAATCTTTGCTTAAAATTTTAGTATCTATAAAAAAAAAACTGCGGCAAAATTGGTTAAGCATTAAATAAATATTTCACTGTATACATATCAAATTTGGTAATTTCAATTCTACAAACAAGTAGAATTAAAATAAAAAAAATATCATCAAATTTTGTCATGTCTTCAACGAGAAATTTCAGTTTAAAGCTTAAAAAAAATTTTGAGTTCAAGAAAAAGAAGAAGAATAAATTTCTTTTTAATTTTAAACTAAAATACCTCGGTAAAAATATAATCAAATTTATGGAAATTTTTTTATTTTAATTCTGCGTGTTTGTAGAATCAAAAAAAAAAAAAAAATTATTGAATTTGCTTATGTAGTCACTGAGAAATATTTATTTAATGTTTAAAAAAAATTTTGCCGCAGCTTCTTTTTTATTGGTACTAAAACTTTAAGCAAAGTTTTCTCAATGAATATCTAACTAAATTTTATGAATCTTTTTTTATTTTAATTTTGTAATCCTATATAATTAAAATAAAATTTTTCATCGAATTTGGTTAGATATTCACCGAGAAAATATCGTTTAAAGTTTTAGTGCCTATAAAAAAGAAGCTGCGGCAAAATTTTTTTAAAACAATAAATAAATATTTCACAGTGACTACATAACAAAATTCGATAAATTTATTTTTATTTCGATTCTACAAACATGTAGAATTAAAATAAAAAAATTTCATCAAATTTGGTTGGATAATTGTTGAGAAATCTTCGCTTAAAATTGAAAAAATGAAATTTTACTACGCCTTTGATTTTTTCAGATTTTTAACCTTTTTTTCAAACTTTAAGCGAGGTTTTCTCAACGACTAGCTAACTAAATTCGATAAAATTTTTTTTATTTTAATTCTATTAACTTATAAAATAAAAATAAAAAAATTCACTGAAATTAATTAAGTATTCATCGAGAAATATTGGCTTGAAGTTTTAAAAAAACCTCTAATTTTAAAAGGATTTTCATGGCCGATCATCCCCCCGACGCATTTCGACGTATTCCGACTGTATTCCGACCCGGAATTTTGGGGATCCCCCCTGTAGGAGTTCGTCAGGGACCCGTAAAATTTTAATTTTAAAAACTCAAAATTTTTTCTGATAACAATAAAAAATTTAGGCAAATTTTAGCTTAAATTTAGCAAATTTTAGATAAATTCTGTTTTAAGTTTAGTAAATTTTAGATAAATTTTGATAAATCTTAAATAAATTTAATAGTACATTCTTTTATTTTATTAAAATACTTAATAATTCAATGTTTAAATTTTGCCAATTGTTATTAAATTTAAAATTAGGAACTATGCCACATAAATTTATGTCTCTAGATCATGGCATCAATATCCAATACAAACTAATCAAATACTGTATACCTTAGAAGTTAAATAAGTTTGAATAAAATTTTTTTTAAAAATAAAATACGTATTAGCAAATCAAATATTTCTTGAATCTACTGCGGCCCAAATTATAGTTTACTGTTAATGCAGGCCAGAATTGTGAAATTCAGAAATGTTCCGAAATTCCGAAATGTTCCACCTGCGCAGCATCCCTTTCCTAGGTGCCGCGCGGTAGATCCTCGATTTTGATTGGCTAAAAAAATCAAACCGGAATTATTCATAATTTTACTAATGAAATTGCAGCCGCCCATTAAGTGAAAATTGTTCCTGAATATACACTTATAGAGTATTCGTGCCTACTAAAAACAAAGTGCTATGTGATTTATTTCAGCACTCTAAAGTACCAACAGACTATTGTATAAAATAATTATACTGTTAAGTAACAGAGTATACAAAAAAATATACTGTACTATAAAGTAACAAAGTATAAAAAAATTATACTGTAAAGTAATAAAGTTTGCAAAATACTTAATAAATTTTATATAATAATTCTATTTAATACAAAAAATACTTTTGTTAAATTAATAATAAGTACCACTAAGGAAACTCCTTTAACTGGTATTTAATTATTTTTTGTATCAGACGTAATAATTAATAATAAATCAAATAAATTAAGTCCAGTATGATTAAAATCCCGATAACATGTTAAAATTTTTATTGCATAATGTATATGCTTACAAATCAATTTTATTGCATATTATATTTGATTACAAACTAATTTTTATCATTTAAATAAATTAAATACTTAGTGCCGTTTGTATTACTTTTTTAAAAAAACATATATGGATAGATCGAATTCTTCATCTTCAAGCGATTTCGATTTAAGCTTTATAATGAATGGATCTTCATAGCATCTCTTTATAACAATTTTATAGATTTAACAACTAATTCAATTGAAGATATAAGTTCAACAGTTATCTCTTCAGAAACTACAAACTTATCAAATATTTCAACAAATGCTACTAGCTCAACAGTTATTTCAAATAAAATTTTTCTGACAATGAGATTCCAGAAATAGAAATTTTTAGTATTAATATTAGTTATTTTTTTATAGTATTAAAGAAATAAAACTTTTTATTTAATTATATTGTTTATATATTTTTAGATTGAATATCAAGATGATGAATTTGATAATATTTCTAAAATTTTATATAACTATTTTACAAAAAAATTGCAAGTTAGCAAAGTTAGATATTTTCCAATTTCAGTTAAATATCATCCAACTTCTATAGAGGTTATAGCAACTGTTTATAATATTTCAGAATAGGATGATTTCAATTTAGCATTTTTTGATATAAGTTATAATTTCAAAAGATGCTATAATTAAAAGCTTATTAATTCTAATTTTAATTATATAGATTCAATATAATACTGGCAAAGGTGGTGGAAAAAAAGTTATTGAATATGAATTTTTTTTTTTTTTTTTTTATTAATATAATGTCATAGTAGAAACTTTATTACAGTTAGTCCGAAGATTGAAAGTTATCTTATAGTCTACAAATCCAGATAAGGGGACAGATAAGCTATTTATTTATAACCTGGCTGCCA